AGGAGCTGTACTGTTCTGTGAGTTGATGCCAGGGTGAGTGGACTGCTAACCTGGGAGATGCTCTCCATGTGCAGAACTCCATTTGGTGCCCAAGATGACGCCACCTTATTATGAGAAGAGCTCAAGACTTCTGTCGTTAAAAGCACTGTAAATCTGCTCTAGTCACTGTGAACGAATTGCCATAGTGCTAAGACCAACCCTTGTTCCTCCAGGATAATGGTGCAATCTGTGCAAACCAACCTGAATCAAACTTCCTTTGTCTCTTAACTTCCTCTGGGCAGAAAACATAAGAAAGGGATTTGTTCACAATTTTGCCTTCTTTCTCCTGCCTCTTTGCTGTCCCTGGTCCTTATCTGGAATAGTTTCTGGAATAGGAATTCCTCTGGGAATATGTGGATATGAATGATTCCTTTCAGTAGCTGTCATTACTTCATCTAGTGGTGTGATGTTGTCTCAGTAATAAAACTTACACTTAAAAACATTCCTCACACATTCGCATCTTCCCTATAACACAAAGTCCATTTCAAGGATGACTTACTCATGGTCTCTACAACTCAAACCCTAGTAAGCAGAACACTGAGGTGTTTGGTTTTGTGTTTTTGACATCTAGTATGATAAGCTGAGGGATAATTGCAGTTGAAGGCCTGACCAATGAAAAAGCCTGGCGAGATGAAGGCCAAAATCCTGGCCTGATGCAGCAATCTTGTTCAATAGCACTGCAGTAGTACTGTTCTTTGGAAATGAACTCATTTGAATCAGATGATTTGTTATCAAACTAAAATTTAAAACTTTAATTAAAACTTCTGTGAATGTGTAAGTTATTTGGACATTATGTCCTGCAGGAAGGCAGAAACTAATGACTACTGCTGCCCACATTCACATAGGCTGAAGCCTTAGAGTATGTTGTTCAAATGTTAATGTGTTCAGTTAGGAACAAGAGAAACCTAGGCTGGGAGGTGAGAAAGAAGACAGAGATAAATGGCAGATCACCATGTGCAGGCAGAAGAGTGGGGGACTCTGCCTCTGAAGTGCAGAGACACCAAATATCCTACCTATGAAATCAACACTTTTGTCTGCTGATGAGAAACAGTCTCTCACACATGACATTTTGCTTTACTCTACAATCTAAGTTATTTCTGGTGTGTGCTGCCAGGCAAACTGTTTATCAGTGACTTACATCACTGGAGTATTTTCATTGTTTAGCAAAAGAGATTTCACCAAACACATCAGTCTGGGCTCAAACTTGCCATTCTCTTGCTTCAGGCTAATGAAAAACTTGTGTTACAGGCATGTATCCAGTACAAGATAGTCAGTTCTTTTTAGCAACCTAAATTTGATTCCTAAAACAACACAACTTAGCAAATGTGTTTTGGAATTATGCATTAGCAGCAGGAAATTAAAAGAATTACATCAAAAATGGGTTTGAACTGTGTTATCACAATGCTATGAACAATATTAATTATGCTATTTGTGAAATTATTTAAAATCTGTGACAGAAGTAGCTGTGGATATATTAGTAAAGGAAAAAATTTAAGACATCAAAGAAATTTGTGACAACAATGGCATGCATGTTAGTACACTTCTACATTATCTTTTTTATTAATTTTATTGAGAAACAAGCAGCAATGAGAGTTTCAAAACTGATTAGTAGGACAGTTTCAATAATTACTACATTTCATATTGTTGTCTTCATAGTGGTTACTTATAGTACAAGATGCAGACATGATGTCCTATCCAAACACTATTAGTACAAATCTTTCTTCACATTGAATTAAGAGAAAGTAGCTGCATATCTATCCTATTTTCCATATACAGATACAAAATGTTCCTTCCTTTATATCCCTTTTTTTGCTTAGTTTCATCAGAGATGGGTATTCTATTCCATTTAAATATTATAGGTACGTGAATTCAGCAAAATATTCCAATCTACTCCAGTAGTTTATAATAGTAGCGAGTTATCCATAGGACTGGCAATGTCGGAAGTTGTTGACTTGAGCCTTTACAGCCCAGCATATTAATATGGCTTTACTTTTTATACCTCATTTTTATACTTTTCTGCTGAATGATTAAGACCAAGCTAAAGCTAGACCTACATAACAAGAAATTTAACTTTCGTATCTGACAATGTCAGTCAAATACCCTCAGGATTTACCTGAAGCCCTGTAACTCAGTTTGTGGATCCTTTGTCAGTGTCAGCCATGTGAATGAGTCACAGCCATTGCTTGACCAATTTGTTCTTTGTGAAAGTACATTATCTTTTAAGGGGGGGGGTCTTCTTTCCAGAATGTGATGCTTTGGCATTCTCCAAAACATTGAACATTGGTGTGTGGAGCAATAAATAAAGGGGACATTGAGAGTGTTCCCACTAGGAAGACAGAGAAAGTGAAGGGCCATGCTTTTTCCCACCTGCAATCAGTGTTAATTGCACACATAGTGGGTGTCAGGTGTTTCTGCAGGTGCATATGAGACATTCAGCCACCAGAGACATTTGCTCTGCCCTGTGGAGTTTGCATTCTCTGCAAGGAAGTAGACAATGGGAAGGGAAAAACACTAAGGTTAGGGTAGTTCAGTGGCATAGCACCTAACTAGGAGGCTCATGCTTCTCAAGACATTTGGTCATTGCCTCAGTATCTCTAGCAGCATCACCTAGGAGCTATAAAATATTAACTTTTACTCTTATTTTTCAGAACTACTGAAACAGACATTCTAGGACTGACACCCAAAACGTGTGCTTCATCAGGCCTGTCAGAGAATTTGCATGTATATTCCAGAACACTTGTCCATGCACATGATCTTATGTGCATAGGATGCAAATGTTTGTGGCTGTAATGCAGAATCTCATATCGTTCATCAGACGTATAGAACCCAGATTTCAATATCACACCAGTGAACATGTATGTTCCAAAAAATAAATTAATATTATTATCAGTAAATGTTAACAGTTTTCTTATGTATTGAATGGTCCCTACACATTATACATTAACAAATTAAAAAATAAAGGTGCACTGATAGTATACCTCTTATAGAAATGCAGTATCTGCCATGTAATATTTTTCTTTTAACGTTTCATAACTGGGTGCATTTCCTCATGTGTGAGTCAGTGCTGCAGTATCTTTTACATGTAGTATTTTCCTCAGAAAAACAGAAGGCACAGTTAGCTGCTCCTCTTATTCCAGACCCTCCATGTCTACACAATTTGTGCTCCTAAGGCTGTCTCCTCTTCAGGCTCAAAGCTGCACGTTTGCTATCTCAGTGAGTCTGGCAAGCTGTGGGACAGAAGCCCCCTCAAGACCTTAGACACCTTCTTCTTCACCCAATATACCTACTTCCCTAGACACACACAAACAGAGCTGACATCACCAAGGCGGCACTGTCAACTTTCAGAATTGTGGTAGCACACAGGACATGAAGCAGGGGAAAATAGTCTGAGGGAAGGCCTTTAGGAGGCTTCTTTGCTGCTGGGAAGAACCTGCACGTATCTCTCTGGGTGAATGTGGGGTGAAAGCCACGTGCTAACTTGCTTGGATGCTTCAAGGTGCCCACTCCATTGATTTTATCCAGTTCACTGGTCTTTTCTTATGTGTGCTTATCAAACCCTATTATTCCATCAGCACTGGCACCCCTTGTAGAACTAAACTGATCCTGAATGTCAAAGCCCAGTTAATAAGTGAAATTTTGCACATATGTTGAATAATTTAAGTCAATAAATGTTATCTTACAAGTACAAAACAAAAATATGAAACTCAAATTTCCAAATATTAAGTAAGTCAACTTAAAATTCTCAGCTATAACATGTCAAGGCAGCCTCTGTTTACATTGACGTTGTTGGGTAATTAAAAACTCTAAGAAAATTCAGTGTAAGACAAAATTCATGGAAGAATTTAGAAAGAAAACAATGCAAGTCTTCACTGTCTCAGTGGCACTCACAAGATGGGTAAGGCAGTCATTCCTGATTTCCTCCAAAAAGCAGCTAAAAAAGTGAATGAAATTTCATTTATTTCTGCCAATTTTTTTTGTCATTTAAAATATGGAACAGAAAAACATAAGCTGAGGAATGACTACAATACCAAACCTTATGCATTTTTTCATTGCTACATTCATAACATTGATTTGCCTTATTCCATACACTGTGTTTACATTATTTGCAATAAAATGTTTTAGTAAATTTAGTTGTGAGATTTGGGGATCATCCCATAGCATATATGTCATTACACACAATTTTTGAAAAAGTATGACAGTTAACTTTGTGATTTTAATAAATTATAGGTGACAAAATTTACATTTTAATTACACAATATGAAAGCAATAAATTTACATTACTGAATTACTATGACAACTTTTCTCCCCAGAAACTTTACAGCATCCAAGAAAGAAACTTTTATAAAGTAAACACCACTTCCTTACTCTTCATTACTGCCCCTGATATTCAATATTCC